GAACTATATATCGAATTATTTGGTCAAATCTCTCTATAAGGCAAATTTAATTAATTTTTCTAGAAAAGAATCTTAATTTCGATTAGATCATAGATAATTTCTTCCCGGATTGATTAAGATCATGATCTTAGAAATTGAAATAACAGAAATAATTTAATATAATATTGATCTAATTCTTAATCCCAACTTCTTTTGATCATGGCTAAGATTTGAATTAAATTTCTCTTAAACTTTAGAATCTTCATGAAATCCTCTATCTTATTTCTTTCTTCAGGACATCAAAGCAAATATAATTTAAATCTTGATGATAATTGATATTCATTAAAAATTCTAGATTTGAAATAAATTTTCATGATAATAATATGAAATTCTTGAAAATAAATTTAAATAAGGATATGAAAGATATATAAATATTATATAATTTGATATATTAAATTAATAGAGAGATGGGCTGATACTTTTCTGAAACAGATTATGAAAGTTTGATAAAGATTCTAATATATTCGTATGAAAATATTGAAATATTGATTTGCTAATCATAATGATATTTTTTTTTATTAATAATTTTCTGAATTTATTTAAGAGGCAGGCATGATCGTGGAATCTGAATAGATTTTCAAGGTTTTAATATCTAATGCGGATGAGGATCGAGATCATTATTCTAAATAGAAATCATTTCATATAATAAGAAGTAAAATTAATATATATATTCAAAATAAAAATGAATGAAAATATAAGAAAATTCAATATTTTATGAATAGCTCTATCTAGCCAAATTTAGGAATATATTGAAATTATAAAATTCATTAAATGCAAATCAATATTCAGAAAATCTTATTTTATCAGATTTATTTCAAATTAATATAATGATTTATATATAATAAATTTTCTATTTGAATTCAATTTCATTAATTAAGTATTTAAATTAATCTAAATTGTCTTATTATTATCGCCATTCTGATCACCCTTGCTAGAATCACTTCCACTACCACGATTATATTGCTACTACTACTACTACTACTAAGACTACGGCCAATACGATTAAGATGCACTATGAGTGCACTTATTATAATAACTATAATATCCAACTTTCGAATTTTCACATTTTTTCTTAAGAACCAAAGACTACAAAAAATGACTCGACAAAACAAAAATTTTATTTTTGAATTTTTGTGTTTTTCCTAGATACACAATACAACAAAATTAGTTCGAAAATTGGGACAAAATAATATCAAATAACATCAAGTCTTACTAAATCTAATTTTCGTGTTTGTCGCTTACCACAAAAAAAAGAATTTTCGATGTTTCGGGTTTCTGGGCGCCAGTCAATGTTATGTGCGCGACATATAAAACCACAACTGAGAATTCTTTATACTATTCATATTAATCATTAGGATATATGTTTTAATTATCTATACCTATATGACCTCTAGTAGCATTGAAGAAGCCGCTAACGTTATTTATAAAAATGTATATAGATTACCGTTTTGGTAGTTATGGGCTATGTATTTTCATAAACAGATAACGTGAGTTAGGCGAGCGGTAATTCTTTCCAAGTAGATATTATGATATAGTCTTATTGTTTCCCAGGAGGGACCGCGGACTTCCGATTCGGTGGCTCACTCGAGCAGGATGCAGGATGTGTGCTCGCAGACTCACATCAGTGAAACTAAAGTACACTCGAGCAGAACTTGACATTCGTACGGGGTCTCCAAGCAGACTCACGACACTATCAGGTCCTCGGCATTCAAGCACGCGGCAATTCAAGCAGCACTCAAGGACTCAAGGAGGTACTCAGCATAGGCGCCGGCCACAACCAAGATGCCTTGTCCAAGAACACCTGCCGCACATCCACTCGCAGGAACAGCAGCAGTGAAGCATCTATCAGCAACCAGGTGTGTTACAGCAGATAAGTGCGCCAATTGCACCACAATAGTCGCTGGAGCCGAGCTTACGTGAGCAGAATCTTATACAAGCCTACCTATTGGTTTCACGACACGTCAAGGCGCCTTGCCCATGAGAACGAGGTCGGGCTCGCGTCGCGTACGCCCGGAAGCGATGATGAGCGCAGGGTACACGACAAGTACAGACCTGAGGGACAAGGAAAAGCAATCTGAAGCCGAGTGGAAGGATCCCGTTTGAAAACAATCCATGTCGGTGGTTGTGCTCCTGTTTTTGACCCAAGTAGATTTGACTACCATGCGAACTTGCTATGTAACCTTCCTTCTCGGAGTTCTCATACTCATTGCAGCAATAGCTTGGTACCGCAACTACTTACAGAACAAGACAATAACTGTCAGCTTGCATACCCCACATGTTCTGCCCTACATCCCGGTCGCTTCGGCAGCCCAATCGGCAAGAAGTAGCCCGTCAATCCTCTGGCAGCTGCTAGCATGCGCTGCCATCCACTCCCAACGACCATGCACAGTCATAGCTCTTCAACAAACCACATGAGACGTCACTCATTGTTCCTCCAAACTGGCGCGACAGTGATTTCTTACAGAGCTTTTTCCCGTTTCGGAGGTTTCCGTTTTTATATTGGAGGTCTCGTGAAATGGAGAAAACGGGCTTTGGCCATGCGAAAAATCCAGTCGCGGAGAAAACGCAGACCCGGAAACGAAAGATCCAATGACATTCTTGGCCCGTGCTGTTTGTAATGGATTGCGAAATCGCATTGATATGAACTAGTGCACAAAAACAATTTCGACAAATTTCGGAAATACATGTGCATCGTACCCCACTCATGGCTAGCGACTGTGGAAAACCATGAAACCATTCGATCTGTGGTACTGTGTACCACGATGTAGGACTTCTTGTGTTTGTAGCAGATGGAAGTGCAGTGCACTTGGCACCGCATGCCTGTCGAAAATCTGTTGTGCTCTGTTCTCGAGCATGAGCAGAATCCCCAAAATCGGGAAGTGTCCCTTGCAGCTGTCCTGGAGCTCAAAACAAAGACAGTGTCCGAACGGACTCCCACACAATCTCAGACAATGTTGGAGCCAGGTCGTCGGTGCTGAGTCTCAAAACTCCTTTGAGGCCCGAACGGAAGACAAAGCACTGGAAGAAGGATTGAAATCGCTCCCAATCGGGAAAAGATGCCTGACGTGGTGCTCTAGCCCGCACAACATTTTAAAGAGCTGCCAAAAACGCAAGGAGCCCATAGCCCCTCGAGAAATAGCCAAGCTGCGCAGCTGGCATGGTGCCAGCATGATTCCACACCTCGGAGCAGCATTTTGTTGGCTGTCGTGCCTAGAAAAATGCCAAAGGCAGTGGCAAATGCTGCCTTAAAGCGGCGAGGGCCGGGACTGCTGCTACACGGTTACCGTGTCGCATGTGTATATGCATATGCGCTTATGTACACATGCATGCGTGTGCGCACATTTACAAACCCAGGTGCATGCAGTTGGCTTGCTCCCGCTCTTCTGCACAACATCACAAATGGCACAACAGCAGCAGCCTAGCAGAATCAAGGTCGTGTCATCGTCATCTCGTTTTCTTCAATCGCTCACGCGGAAAGCTCAAGGCCGCAGGGGGCAGTGGGGTCCGCGTAAGGAGTTGCGCCTCATGCAAAAAAATGCAACTTTTCTTGACTCATGTAGGGGCCTTAGTAATTAGAATAAGGTTTGCGGGGTTCCTTATTATAACTATGGTATAATCTACCCCCAAACCCTCTTCAATTATTCTAATTATTAGGGCCCCTATAGTATAATATTTGCTGGTCTGGCATGTACATCGATGCGCAGCGACCCGCTGGCACTGCCCGGGCTCCGTGCATTAAGTGGTCGTATGCTATTCTACTGTGAGAGAACAGGTATCCTAACCACAACCTAAAGGCCAAACAGCCTCATGCAAACCTATGCCGTGCAACCTCAGGACAACCTAAGTGACAACCTCACATCAACAGCATCACCACATCAGGCCATCCAAACAACGTCGCCACATGGGCCCAATACCAGTATTGTATTGCAGCATTGTGGACTCATAGACTCATAGCATTACAGTATTGTTGTCTTATCGTCTGATAACCTGATAGCATTGAAGAACAAAATGAACTATAATATTGTACTTGCTCTAGTCTGCAAGCTCAGGGGTCGGCAACATCAGCTTGATAGAATTGGAAATCAAGTTCTTGGCGACGGCGTGAACGGACCGTTTGACGGCTGCCTCCATCATTCTTGGGGTTCGGCGCTTAGGGGTTTCAGGGGTTTCGGCTTGTAAATCTTGACATCCACGGCCGGGAGGAGTTCTGTCTGCCGCAAGGTTTTGCCACATCCAAGCTTTTGGTGCACAGAACACTTTCCGACAAAAGTGCCTCTGGTAACTCGTCCTCCTTGGGATGGAGGTCGCTCGCCTACGAACGCAGAGCCCCCGCGTACTGTTGTGTGAAAGCCAGACAACCCAGTGACTGCATGTCAGCAACTGGCTCGTGCACCAACCTTGCCTTAGAAAGGCCGTCTGCGCTCGGGCCAGCCTGGCTGACAAGCATGATCAGCCAAGTCCGCACCTTGCCAAGTCCGGGACACCTCCGCGCCCGTTCCTGGAGGTTCCGGGTGTGCGCTCCTCCGCCCGGAAGGCAACCGAAAGCTGCACTTGGTACCCGTGAACACTTGGGAGTTTCCGACAATTAGGGGTACCTTATTTTGGGGTCCTTATAATAAGGATCCTATTATTTGGGGTACTATATTAGGGTCCACTGTTTTCGGAAACCCCCACTTACTCTCCAAGATCTCGTGCAAGCGAGACACCCGGCCAAGGCCAAGTCGCCACCTGGTGCGAGTCGAACTGGCGGTCTCTCGCAAGCCAACGTACAGCATTGCTAAGGATGTTAACAACAGTAATCATAAGAACCGTGATAATCACCGTTATGATAATGATAACCATAATGAGCATAATGATAACCTGACATCATCACCATAACCAACAGAAGAATAGCAATAATGACCAGATAATAATGACAAGCATGATAATCAGCAATGCATACATAAATATATAGAAAAAGCAACAAGAGAGAGTTAGTAGCATCCTCACGACGCCGACGCCAGATCCAAGGGTCGGGCCTGCCGCAATTGCTCTCATGCCTCTGCACAGGTTGGAGTGAGCGAAGGTCGCCGAGAAAACGCTCTCAAGCCCGATGCAAACGAGCTAGATTAAATCTGGCGAACTGCTTGTGTAAAGCAATGCAGGTAGCAGTTCACGATGGAACAACCCCGAACAACAGTCAGCCATAGGCCATGAGCCTTCCGCCGGCTGCACATTGTTCTCAGGCTGTAATCCTCTTGCGGTTTGGCTTCCGGGATATCGATGATGAAGTTAAATGGAACTCCTAAACACCCAACACTTCCTGCTAAAAGGCTCCCTAGAGGCCCTAGACCCTTTTTCACTTAAAGCCTGGTATCTGTTGGGGAGTTTTGACGTTGGACCATGGTCCATCTTCATTTCTCTCGTCGCCCTCGCTGACAGATCGTCCGGGGGGAATGCGCAACGATGTCAGCCTGTCTACTTGGAGGATCAGGGCATTTAGTAAGAAAGATTGGTAAGTTTGGTGGTAACCACTTCCCCTGATCCTTTAAGTAGTTCTAGCTGCCGCTCTATATTTACATGTGGCCTGCTCACAAGCAACCCAGACGATATGGCCCCTATGTACAACCAAAGCAACATGATGCGAGTAAACCTCATCCAACCCATATGGCAAGTCTTCTGCTGCTCCTTGGGGCATCCCTGGCATCACGAAGTCGTAGCCTGACGCAAAAGGGCAGCAGGTCCCTTGACAGCAGCAGCGTCCACGATGATGGCGTTGCGTTGTCCACATTCCACAAGCTGTTCAGTCGGGTCCATGTATTCACCAGTATGTTCTTCGGTTTTCTTTCTCAACTCTGTCTTCTTGTGCTTTACTTAAACGACGAGATAGAAGCGAGGAGGAAGAAAAAATCGAGTTGATTCCTGGCACCTGTTGCGCTGCGGCAGTTTCATCGTCCACATCTACAGTGCCGCTTCCATTTAACAACTACTAACTACTACTGCTACTAATTACTACTACGACATACTACGACCATACAGCGACTGCTACTGCAACTGCTGCTGCTACTTCTACTGACTGCTAATGCTACTGCTCCTGTAGGAGCGCAATAATCCTGATCCTGCTCCTGCTGCTCCTCCTGCCGCTGCTCGGTACTGACTTTATACTTCTCATAACTGTTCTTCTTGCCAAGTGTTTCATTTGGCTTCGGCATGGCTCGAAATCAAAATCCCATGCTCCCACGACTGTTGGTTCAATTCCTTCGTGGTAGCATTATGTAGAGGTCAACAGCATTCGAAACTATTACTACGATAGTTTGCAGCGCACTCTTGGGTGCTTCCTGCGTATTGCGACAGTAAGGCTAGTGTCGCGATGATGGCTTCTGTGTTGCAATTAATTTGCTATGTGGTTGCCAAACTGTGGTTGAACCCGTTGTTGCAGATGCTCCATGTCTGAGGTTTAATCACTCGTACTACTGCTAATGTTGCAAGCATGGTAAGCATAATGCAATGGCTCTACTGATGCAATGAATGGCAGAGCTGCAGGAAACGTCTAAGTTGGTTTGTTGGTTACCGCAATGCTTAGGAGCTATCGTATTACAAGATTCAAGTGGTAGTTGTCAGCTATCTGATGGTTACATCCGATTTACAAGCCGTCCACATATATCAATTCCGAGTAGCGGATTTCATGCTCACCCAGGCGACATGCAAATATCTCGCAAATCAAGCTGGGTGGCTGCAAACACCATGACCCAGCTAGACAGGTGCAGGGCGGTGTGGGAGGCTCTCTTCCGCCCTTCATTGTAAGGTACGGGCCCATTTGGAAGGCGGGCTCCACCGAGTAGGAAAGAAACACGGTCATGATCGTGAGCTCCCACGGGCCGAAGGACCACCTCAACATCCAGGAGTTTAGGGTTTACATAAGGGTGGGGAGCTTTTGTGATTCGCGGTGGTCGCATATGGTCGCCGTTTGTCCAAGCACGTCCTGGGGCCCCGACCCACACAGGGCAAAGAAAAAGAAGACGATGAAGGCGCACACCCCGAAGGCTACCACCAGCCTTGTTTCAGAGGCCACTGCCCACTCCCTTTCCGGCAGAGTTCCCATCTGAGAAACCGGCAGGCCGAGCACCAGCTCCAAATCGAGGGTGCACAAGATACCCACCCCTGCCACGACCAAGCTGACGTTGATCAGGACCTCAACCACCGTATTGGGAGCAAACCGTTTTGGGCCAACATTTCACAAAGCACCCTGCTTCACGTAACACTTTGCGACAATCAGACACACCGCCGCACCTGCCAGGAACTGTCGAGGGCCTCCTTTAAGGCTTCCATGTCCACCCAAGCCTGTGCAGTTGTAGCGCTGCTTGCAATCACTGCTGGTGCATCACTTCACAACTTCGCGGCGTCCGGAACTCGCCAGAACCCAGGTTGTAGTGCAGACGAAACTGAGTCCCGCGCCTGGCACGTGACCTTGGCGGAAGCACAGTTTGACAAGGACTTTCAAGCCTTTTTTTCAGTTCCAAGCAATCGCTACTGCCAGCATCTTCGAGAAGAGACACACAAGGTTAGCTCTGCCCGAAAAGTGCGAGAAACAAATGAGCCTTGCACTCGCCTCTGTCGAGTCGTTGTTACATATCTTCCAGCATCTTACAACCCTTCTTTCCAGTCTTTGCCATTTCGTTCCGCGCAGACATGGATCTGGAAATTTGCAGCCCCACAGAGCGCATGTTTTACACACTAAACGTCGCCAAGCTTTGCAGCACGTGGAAGTGCTGATTGGCAGCCGCCAGATCTTCTGGTATGTCCCCACGATCGTTTGCCATGGGTTCTGCCCCAGACTCAAGAAGTAGATTTGTCATGCTCTCCGCGCCCACCAAAGCCGCCATACCCAGCGGAGTGATGCCAGGCATGCTGGCAAAAACCCGCGTCATCAGCGAAGATGCTCCAAAACCATTAAAGGCACATTCGGCCCGAGCCACGGCGCAAAGAAGGCAGTACCTGTTCCGTGGCCGTACTCTTCGGTTTACGTCGGCTCTGTGAGATATTAACAATGCAGCAATTTCCCTGGCATGACGGTTGCTCCGTGAGAAAAAAGCGATGCCATGAAGTGGGCCGTAGCCTATCCCTCGCAGTTCAGGATTCGGATCACAGCGGGATTCGAGCATGGCCGCCACGGTTTCAACGTTTGCCCAAGACGCCACGCCAGTGAGTGGACTAAGTTCGAGAGGAAGCCCACCTTTGTGCAACTCTGCTCTGGCTGCAACCACTGTGCGAACTTGCTCCGGGGATCTCATCATGAAGACTGTACTCGCCCCGTTTGCTGCCTGCATGTTCACATCGCCCTTGAGCTCGATGAGAGCCGAAAGCACCTCGGCGGGTTGATGCGACTTGGCTGCTGCCATAAGAAGCGTCTGGCTGTCAAAGTATCCGAAGTGGTCCAAGCCGTGTAGCCTGAAATTGACGTCGGCCTCCGACGCAACCAAACTGCGAATAAGATGCACGTCACTTGCGAAAACGGCACACACGATGCCGTTCATGCTGCTACTGTCCTTGGCAGCAGCCTCGAAGCTGGAAAATCGGAATTCTTGGACGAAGGCATCGGAATCCCAAGTCTTTCTCTGTCCCAGCAGTTGCGCACGATTGGCCAAATAGAAGCGATAAGAACTCAAAGGACCTGCTGATGACAAGTGCTCAATCTTGGCGCGCACGGCGAGTTCACCCAATCTGATTACAGCTGCCCGGTCAGACTCCACAGTGAAGGCCCCGTCTGCAATCGAGTTCAGCTGCCAGTCGAGGGGAAACATGTATTCCGCTTCTTTGGCGGAAAACACGACGACGAGACTTGTGTTTCGTTTGTCAGATAGGACGTGACACCATAGCTCTGCCCTACACCATCCTCTAGACAGCCAGGAGATGTAATTGCAGTGAGATTCGGTCACAGTGTGCGTCAGCTCTGGCACCAAAGCGATGAACAGGTTCGACACTTCGACGTATGCTGGGATGCTCTGGACGGCCAGGGCGGCATCTGACCGAGTCTCGTCTTCGTTCACGCCCTCCAGGCGCGCGGTGATCTGCGGTATCGCAAACCAGTCGAAAAACAGGAAGCCATCGGCAATCTGTTGGCGTGCATCTGATGAGAAGGGCGTATTGCGATTCATAACGGTGACCGGATCCGGCTCAATTTTGAGGCTTCCATCCATCATGCCGCCGAGGGCAGAGCGAAGGACGGCACACTGGCGGCCTTGCGGATCTGGATGTGCTCCACCCAGCCACTGGTGACTGACGAAGATGATGAACATCCCCTCCTGTTTTATTATGGGTTGTATACTGAACGCCAGGGTACAACTAAGGTTCTCTAGACGATCGGCGTTGCCTTTTTACTTGTTCTGCTGAACACCAGGGTGCAAGCGAACTTCCCCCGCTTTTGTTTATTTTGATGAACATCCCCTCCTGCCAGGTGTGGAGCAAGTTGTCTTTCCGCATTTGGTCATGTGGCTTTGGCGCACCTTCCATCTGTAGGAAGTCAGAAACCTACCAGGCGCCAGGCACTTCAGTTGTTTTTTGCCATGTTCGGGGAACTGCTGTTGGTTGTTACTGGTGCTTTGGAGGCTTCACTGGCAGAAGACTAAGCACTTAGGTTACCCACCGACATGAAACAGAGGGCCTTGACCACATACATTGGAAAGAGCATCGTGTGAACCAACTGCCGCTCGCTCTTATCAACGTCATGGCAGCTTGCGTTGCCCATGGCCCTCTGGCTGGGCCACACGAGGTGCGTCCGAACCTGAGCCCTTGCAACACAAGTATGGAGAGCCCGGCCCTGCGTGACGTTCACACACCCATACAATCTCTATAGGTACAATTCGAAAGCCTGAAACAACCGCATCTTGTCTTGGCGTTCTCTGTGAGAGGCAAACGCGACTCTGAAGTTGACGGGAGAACCACAGGAATGTAGAGCAAGCAGCACAATATCACGGGTACGGGACACGAGACAGCACGTACAGTAACTATATGGCCCTTCATACATTGCTTTTGTACAACCCACATGTCCGGAGCAGATAACCCCTCGCAGGGTACGATCCGCGATGCTTCGATTCGTGCTGTTGCCCGGAGCCCCGAAGCATGTACAGCTAAGCCCTGGGTGTTCCTCAGGGTGCACATGTGCTGCTGCCCCGGCTTTAAACTGCTTTTTCACATCAGAGCGTGTGCCAATCGCGTATCATGCCTTGTGCATGCGAAGCTCGGGGCAGGAACTGTCGATCAAGAACGACAAAAACGGACCCACTGCGCATACGGAACCACTTCTGTCAAACGCTAAACGTGGACAGATCGGGTAGCAGATGCAAGTGCTGGTTGGAAGTGGCGAGAGTATCAGGCGAATCTCCTCGATCGTTCGCCGTAGCGACAGCATCATGCCGCAGTAGGATTTGCATCACAGGTTGACAACCAATAAAAGCTGCCGCAGCGAGCGGAGTGAGCCCCGGAAGGCTGGCAAATGCCCGGGACATAAAGGGACTGGTCTCAAAGCCAGTGACAGCACACTGTGAGCGTGCCAGGGCACAGATCCACGAGTAGTTGCCTTGCGGATTTGCCCGGGCATTCGCATCTGCCGCATGTGCTAGCAACAACTTAACGGTCCCCTCCGAGTGTCTATTGCTTCGGGAAAAAAAAGTTGCTCCATGCAAGGGGCCGTAGCCGATACCCTGCAAGCCTGGATTTGGGTCGCAGCGTGCCTGGAGCATGGCGGCAACTGTTTCTGTAGATGAGAAGGATGCGACACCCGTCAGGGGTGCCAGGCCCAAGGGAAGGCATGGGCTGTGCAAGTCTGCTTTGGCATTAAGGAGAACATGCATTTGTTCGGGCGACCGCATCATGTACGCAGGGTTCGTGCCATTCGGGGCTGCGCTGTTCACATCGGCAGCGAGCTCGATTAGCGCTGCCAGCACTCGGGCTGGCTGGTGTGACTTGGCCGCTGCCATCAAGAGCGTCTGGCCATCAAAATACCCGAAGTTTTCCAAGCCATGCAGCCTTAAGTTTACATCCGCCTCCATGTAAACTAGATTGTGGATGAGATTCACGTCTCCTGCGAAAGTTGCACAAACCAGGCCGTTCATGCTGCTCGTATCCTTCGCGGCTGCCTGCAAACTAGGAAACCGGAATTGCTGCAGAAAAGCATCCCTTTCCCAGTACTCGTGGGATTTCTGCCGAAGAAGTTGTACACGTCCTGCCAAATAGAACCTATATGAACTCAATGGACCTGCTGATGACAAATACTCAATCTTGGCCCGCACCGCGACTTCACCCAATTGAACTACCTTTGAGCGGTCAGATTCAACGGTAAACTCACCATCTGCAATCGAATGGCGCTGCCAGTCAAGAGGAGACATGAACTCGGCTTCCTGCGCCGAATGCACCACGATTAGGCTCGTACTGAGCTTGTTGGAAAGCACGTGACACCATAGCTCTGCCCGGCACCATCCTCTAGACAGCCAGGAGATGTAACTGCAGCGAGCTCCGGTCACAGTGTGCGTCAGTTCTGGCACCAAAGCGATGAACAGGTTCGACACTTCGACGTATGCTGGGATGCTCTGGACGGCCAGGGCGGCATCTGACCGCGTCTCGTCTTCGTTCACGCCCTCCAGGCGCGCGGTGATCTGCGGTATCGCAAACCAGTCGAAAAACAGGAAGCCATCGGCAATCTGTTGGCGAAGACCTGCTGAGACGACAGGCGACGCGCGATTGATTAAAGTCACGGGGTCTGTCTGCACCTGGAGACTCCCACTGATGACACCAAGCAGGGCTTTGCGAAGAACTGCACATTGCTGCCCCTGCGGATCTGGATGAGCACTCCCGAGCCATTGGTGGCTTATGAAAATTACGAACATCCCTGGATGCCAAGCACGAAGCCAGCCCTTCTCCTCTGCAGGAAAGGACCATGGGGATCAATCACCATACACAATGCGCGGGGAACGTGGGCTACTTTATCATTGCGACACCCTGCGTCCTTCATGTGACCATGTGCCTCAGGAGGGCCGCTCATCCGCAAGAAATCGGAGACCTTCCGGCATTCCCAGGGCTCTACCCCTCGCACCCCGTATATCACACAAAGGAAAAGCACCATTCACCCGATAACGCCGACATGACTCCAGAGGTTCCCAGATCCCCACAGCGGCCTTAACTACGCACATCGGAAAGAGCATGTCGTGCACGGGCTCCATGCCAACCAAGGCATCACTCGCACAGCAACACTTGTTACCCATGGCTTGGGCAAGGCTTGGCTTAAGGCTATGGGTTTCGGTTTTTAGGGCTTTCGGGTTTGGGGTTTGGGGGGTGGGAGGCTCAGAGGCTCAGGGGCTAAAGCCATCCATATTTTTCGTTTGGCATCTTCTGTTCGGCTGGCTTTGTCTGGCGTACTTGATCGATTCACTTTCTGTGGGGGGCGTGGGCTCATGCACACGAGAAAGAATGCG